GCAGGCAGGTGTTCAGCCATCTCCAGGACAGCAGGGCTCCATCATGTAACGGTTACTTGGGAAGACAAACGTCATAACTATGAACATCCCACCCTTCCTCCTTCTTCCCCCAGCTCTATATGCTGAGCATGACATCGTATGGTGTGGAATATCCCTTTGGTCAGTTGGGGTCAGCTGTCCCAGCCGTGTCCCCTCCCAGCTTCTTGTGCACCCCCAGCCTACTCACTGGTAGGGTGGTGTGAGAAGCAGAAAAGGCCTTGACGCTGTGTAAGCACTGCTCAGCAGTAACTAAAACATCCCTGTATTATCAGCACTGTTTTCAGCACAAATCCAAAACATAGCCCCATACTAGCTACTGTGAAGAAAATTAACTCCACCCCAGCCAAAACCAGCACAAGGTTTTTTAACAGAAGACTGGTTGTATTGACAAGACACAGAAACTAAACTAAGAATGGGTGAAGGTCTGAATAAAACTATTTTAGGCAACTGCCTTCTTTGTACATTTCCAGTCTATAATATTTTGGTTCATCTGGTGTACTGTAAATATCCATCACTTTTTGAGAAGAGCACTGGGTGAACCAACTGGTTTATCACAAACAGGGGAATGCCAGGGTGACTTCTGCTTTGCTGATAAAGTTCTGGGACAAATACAGCTTAGCTTGATTGTAAGGATGGTGAGAGCTTGTGGGTCAGGATCAGAGGAGAGGCCAGTAAGGGTGATGTTGCAATGGGAGTTTGTCACTGACCATCTGATCAGGGAGTGAATGATGTCTTCTATAAACAACTTCAGGAATTCTCTGTATCATTAAACCCCCATTCTTGTGCGGGCCTTTAACTTCCTTGACATCTGCTGAAAGGACAGCACAGCGGGATGCAGTCAAGAAGAGTTCTGGAGGGTGTCAGGGATAACTTCTTCATACCCTCTTCATAACTTCTTTGGCATGCAGGAGTAGCCTTAGGAAAGTCGGAGCTCACCTAGAATTGACACTTACAAGTGATATCAAGGACAAGAAGAAGAGCTTCTAGCCCTGCATTGGTAATAAAAGGCTGAACAAAGAAAATGTGGGATTGTTGATAAATGGGGTGGATGATTTAGTGACAGCAAATGTAGATGTTGTTGAGGTACTCAATGCCTTTGTTGCTTCAGTCCTCACAAACAAGGTCTCCCAGTCCTCTGTGCTTAATGAAAGGAAGAGACTGACCAGTAGTGGATGAAGATCAGTTTGGGGAACTCAACCCACAAAAGCCCATAGGACCATATGGGCCAAGAGATACTTCATGAAATTCAAGAGGTACAAATCCAGTCTTTCCCTGGGCAGAAAGTATCCCCTGCAACAATACAGACTGGGGCTGACTGACTAGCTGGGAAGCAGCTTTGCTGGAAAGACCCTGGTGGTCTTGGGAGGCAGGAAGCTGAATGTGAGCCAGCAACATGCCTGGCAGCAAGGAAAGCCAACAGCTTCCTGGGCTGTATGAACAGGACCACAGGTGGTGGGATTGAGGGAGGTGATTATCCCCTGCACTCAGCACTCCTTAGACCACACCTAGCTACTGTTTTGGGCCCCCGATGTAAGAAAGACATTGATAACCTGGAGCAAGTTTAGTGGAGGGCCACCAAGATGGTTGGGGTTGGAACTCTCTGTATATGAGGAAAGGCTTGAGACCGGGGCTTGTTCAGCCTGGAGAATAGATGGCTTTGGGGAGACCTAACAGCAGCCCATCATTACCTATGAGGACGTTATCAAGGAAGTGGAGCCAGACTCTTGACACTGGTACGTGGTGGGAACACGAAAGGTGATAGGCATAAGTTGAAACAAGAGATGTGCAGACAGGAAAAGGCTATAAGGAAAAGCTTTTTCTTCCATGAGGACAATCAAGCAGTGGAACGGGTTGCTCACAGAGCCTGTGAAGTTTCCGTTCTCCGAGGTTTTCAAGTTGCAACTGGATAGAGTCCTGAGCAAGCTGGTCTGATCCCATAGCTGGTCCTGCTTTGAACAGGAGGTTGCACTAGAGACTGCCTGAGGTCCCTTCCCATCTCACTGATTCTATCATTTTTCCCTTGGTTTAAGGAAAAAAATGTTTCATTTATGGTATTTGGTTTTTTCCATTCAAATTGTTTGGATGACGGTGCAAATAAGTCTATTCTGGTAATCTTCCAAGAGATGAATCTTGGATGACATCAAGATCTTCACATAATACATCCTTAAAAGTGCTGCATTGTTAATTTTCTTCAACTTACGATAAGTTGCCTTTATATTTGAAGCTGTTATTAATGAAAATGTATGTATACTATAGGAGATCATTAGAGCATTAAACTGGCAAAGATTCTTTAGCTTAGTATTTATTTTTAATGTAGAATGCATTAAGTGCACTATCTTTATTGAGGGACATAAAGAACTTGTGTAGTAGTCTTATTTTCAGAATGTTTCTCTCCACTGTTTTAAGGTAAAACAATGTTCATCCTGCGTGTTTGTTAACTGTACTAAGAAATTATCTCATAAAAGTTGTTTTTAATGGACATAGTCAAAAAGAGGTAAGAATGGGCTACCATAAAATAACAAGGGGGAAAAAACCAACCCTAGCTGTGGAATATTCTTGTAAGATATACTGTGTAATGCATTTTAAACCAGAATTGACAAAATGTTTGTGAAAGTGAACCGTAGGGAATGTTTCTGTGGTCAGCATATCTGTCAAACGCAGATGAGTGTGCACACATATTTTATAACAGCTTTCTATTCATTACCAACATTTGTATATTTACAATTTGTTTTATAGAACTGTTCAGTGTTTGCCAGAGTTTTCTGCTGGACTGGAATTACTGAGCAGGTATGACCTTCCATTTCTTTGTTAGTGTCTGCTTCCTATAATTTCAGAAATAACTTTATTAGGTTAAGAAAAGGAGAAGAAAATGAAGGTGTTACTAATAGGTTTTTTGGATGTTCTGCAGTGAGTGGAGTGGGGGATGGTTACCAAATGATAAATATGTTTAAAGCTTGCCCAATCTTTAAGTGCTATCATGCTAATGAAACAGAAGTTCTGAAGGAGAGGCAACATTTGAAAGATGACTTTAGTTCAGAATCTAATGCACAGGGGTGAAGGAGAACAGCACTGAGGCCCAGCCTGTAGTTTTAATTTGACTTTTACATATTTGATATGGTTTCATTCAGTTATAATAGAGACAGTATACCTGTCATTGCCATGAAAAGAAAGTGTATTCCATGTGTATTTAATCACATTTTTTCTGAGTAACAGAAGCTATCTGCATTATAAATTTCCTTTGTATTTTTATCTTTTTTTTTTTTTAAATCTATTCCTTTTTTGGGGGGGGGTGTGATTACAATCTTGTTAATTTTTTTTATTTTCTTAATGAAATTAGGTTCCAAGAAGTGCTTAAGGCTTTTATGTGTAGTCTTATAAATATTGCTGGGTCCATTTAGCTCTTAATGTAAGCTAGCGATTTAAAAAACATTAATCACTTTTTCTTTGAAAGAAATTATTTCTTACTGTATATTTCTTTCTAATATTTACTGTTCTACCAAGACAACCTCACAGCTTTTTAAACTGTTATTTCTGGTAGTCCCTGTAAATATAAGCACAGTGGTATCCATGAAATCTTCTTTTGTAAGGGGAACACAGGAAAAGCAGTCATTTATCTTTGTTCTCTTCAGATATGAAGATGCTTGGGCTGCCCTTCACAAAGGAGCCAAAGATTGTGCAAAAGCTGGAGAGGTAAGAAAAAATAATGCCACACTTGTTTCTTTTAAAATGTGTAAATAATTTTAAACTAAAATTTTTAGTACCAGTGTACTGGGTTGACCCTGGCCACTAGGTAAGCATTCACACAGCCTTGTTCACTCCCCCACCAGTGGGACATAGGAGAGAGCAGGAAGAACAAAAATGAGAAAACTCATGATTCAAGATAAAGACAGTTTAATAATTGAAGGACAGAGGAAAAACGAGTGGTACAAAAGCAGTCACTCACAACCTCCCATAAGCAGACCGATGCCCAGCCAGTCTCAGAGCAATGGTTACCTTGGAAGACCAAACCCTTAGTTTTTATTGTTGAGCATGATATATAGTATGAAATATCCCTTTGGCCAATGGTCAACTGTCCTGGCTGTGTCCCCTCCCAACTTCTTGCACACCCAGCCTACTCACTGCAGGAGGAGCGGGGATGAGTGGGAAAGAGAGAAAGCCTTGACAATGTACAAGCATTGTTCAGCAATATCCAAAACATTGGTGTGTTAACAACACTGTTTTGATCAGAAATCCAAGACACAGCACTATATGGGCTGCTATGAAGAAAGTTAACTCTATCCCAACTGGATCCAGTACAAACAGTATAATGAAAAAGTAATGCTCCGTATTGCTACTTGGGAAAAATGCCAAGTTGCATTGTTTTTTACTGTGGTTTTAAGATGGTGTTTGACAGGCAGCTGACGAAATGGATCAGAATGTCCAGTTCCTCTTGTTTCTCACAGCTCTTCCAGATTTGATGGTACTCAGCCTACAATTAATATTCTTAAAGTATTAAATATAGATATTGCGAAAATAGAAATTCTCTGTGATCATGTTTCTCATGAGGTATCATCTAACAAGAATTATCTGAAGTTCATTCTCCTGTTTACTTTCTGATACTTCAATTACTTTAACAAACATCGAGTGTGAGAATTTCCTAGTGCTTTTAAAGTACTTTTCAACTGATACATTGACACCCAGAATTTCTTGTCTTCTTTCCTTTGTTCAGATAGTTGCAATCACTACTTGCACTTAAGCAAAAAATATTAATTATACCAGCTTACTGTTTTTCTGTGGGATGTGTTAGGTTAGAGAAGGATATTGAGAAGTACAACTTTGTCAGAGTGTGACAAGAAGGGATGGTAAAAATAAGACATATCCAGAAGTTCAGGTGGTCACTCTTCACCATTATTTGAAAGATTTTAAGTTAGCTGGGAATATTACTTTGAGACTGCTTAAGACATTTTAACATTGCCAATAAATGGCAATGTAAACAATAAACAATAATGCAAACAATGTAATGTAAACAATAATGTAATGCAAACATTAAATAATGTGATGCAATGTAAACAATTGCAAAAATGATGTTGCATGTTACTGCTGTAGCTCTTTAAAAGCACTGGGAGGGGCTGGGAAAGTATAGAATATATTTGGAGTTGAGGCGTGTTGGTGGTTAGTATCAATCAGGGTAGGGCTGTTGCCTGACACCGCTGCCCTCTCCTAGTGGACAGGAAATGCCAAGATTTGACTTGTCTGGCTGAAAAGGTTGAGGAAGTGTCTGTGCTTTCTCCTGATTTTGTTCAGTCTTCCTGTCCTGGAAGTGAAGTGACAAGTTGTGTGGTTTATTTCTGGAATGAAGGGAAAGAAAACTTCCAGTAAGTGCTGCCAATGCATTGCTCTGCTGTTTTGGAGGTCTGCACCAGACTTTGCATTTCAAACCCTGTTTAAGGGGCAGAGAGTGTAAGCTGGGTGGCCATGGTGCAGAGCAGGACTGAGCTGTGGGGTTCTCTGTCCTGGCTGAAACCTTCACTTTGGCCAGCTGCATCCTCCCTGACTCCTCTGGTTTCCTTAGGAGTCTTCTCTTTATCTTTTTCCAATGGATAAAAACCTCACTGCTTAATGTATTTTGAAGAGGTGTATTTAGGGTAAGAAAGATATTATCTTATGTTCTTCTTTCTCTTGCCTAATAGTATGGCCCACCTTTTCCATGCGTTCCAGTGAAAACCTTCAGTTTAATTAGAGATGAAGTTCTCTCTGCCAGCTTTGTGTGTTTTACTGCTCATGATGATTTTCTTTAGAACATCTCTTAAATTACTTGCTTACAGTTTTTTAATGCTTGCAATAGTTTGCTTTAAAAATTGTAGTTCTGAAAACAATGTGAGGTTTCATATAACTAAAACCAATGTAACCTTAATCTCACGTATTATGGCTGCTTGGGAAAATGAGAATGAAAAGCTTTCAAAAAGACTTCGAAATTTTCCATGAAGTTCAGATGTTTACTTATGGGAGCATCCAAAATATGTATTGCTTGTGGGTTTTTTGTTTGTTTCTTTTTTATAAAAGTAGAAAATACAGGGTTCAATAAAATAAGAATTGGTTAAGCACGCAAGATTGACTGTACTATATCAGACCTAAAGGTCCACTTGTCCAGTATCCTATTTCTGGTACTGGCCAATAGCAGATAAATAAGACAGCACGAGTACTTTATAAATGTTGAATAGAAAAAGGAACATGAAAATTTCAAGCTTTAATTTCTGCCTACAGTCTTGCCATGTTAAATTATAGATGCTAACTACCAGTTCCATCTACAAAATTGTCCTAAAAATACTGCTTTTAGATGATTGTAATTTTAGCTGCATTTAATTCTCTCTGGGCTGAAATGTTTTTCTGGTGTTTGCCCCCATGTCATGATAGTTTGGGGTTTTGGTTTTTTGTTTTGTTTTTTCTTTACGGTGTTTCCGCCATGTCATGATAGTTTGGGGTTTTGTTTTTTTGTTTTTGTTTTGTTTTTTCTTTACTGTTTAATGGATATAAATCCCATATCTCATTCTCAAAAATAGACTTGGCTTTATTTAAATAAGGATGTTGGTCTTCTGAAATGTTTCATTACTCGCTGGGCTTTGGAATAAGTTTTCAAACCTTATCTGGTAAAACAGGATGGCTTTTTGACAGGGGTAGATAGTTGGAGGAATTTGGTAACGGGAGAAGTTGTTGTTCTAAAAGAATCTGTCTGAAGTGGGTAGAACTGTTAATCTTTGAGAACTTCCTTTGCCCATTGCTCAGACTTTTTCAGTTTCTGCCACTAAATTCTACAAAAGCTGGGGAGTTCAGAATGCAGATGCAGCCATGGGCTGCAGTTGTGTACAAGAGGAAGAATCGGTAATGGAACTAAGAACAGGAAAATTATGATTGAATCATCTCAAGTATTATATGTAAGGGAAACGTTTGTTACCTAAGATCTCTTGATCTTTCTGTTTTTCATAGAATCTGACCTAAATAAATAAAACTTTTAAACAGTGTAACCTCTTCTCATTATACTATTGTATAATAAAAGTTAGGAAGACTCAAACAACAAAAATTGAACTTACATAGCAGTGTGTTCATAAAGACTTGCAACTACTGCAGTTTATCACAAGAGTAGAAGAGCAGGACTGTTAGAAAGGCAACTTTTTTTTAAATGTCATTCCTTTTATTTAATTTTCTAGAGTATTTTGAATGTGCAGAATTTTCAGTTTTGTTGTTAAGATTAAATCAGTATGAGTAGCAACTTTATACTAAGTTATTGATCTAAATAAGCCTTACATTGTAGCACTGCAATGTTGTTATTGCGTACCAGTACAACGCTGCTGTCAAAATTTCAGATGCATGTTCTTTACAGTTAATAAAATCCATAAAATAGTTCCTGCATTGATAAGTATATTGAGAAATAACTTTTTATCTTATTTTGATATAAATCTTTCATACTACAGGGGCTTTCTTAAGCATGTTGTATATTTACTTGAGAAGTACACAAATGGCAGTGCTATAGCGTTGCTGTGCTGACCTTATGCTTGCACAGCCATGGGCTGCAGTTGTGTACAAGAGGAAGAATCGGTAATGGAACTAAGAACAGGAAAATTATGATTGAATCATCTCAAGTATTATATGTAAGGGAAACGTTTGTTACCTAAGATCTCTTGATCTTTCTGTTTTTCATAGAATCTGACCTAAATAAATAAAACTTTTAAACAGTGTAACCTCTTCTCATTATACTATTGTATAATAAAAGTTAGGAAGACTCAAACAACAAAAATTGAAGTTACATAGCAGTGTGTTCATAAAGACTTGCAACTACTGCAGTTTATCACAAGAGTAGAAGAGCAGGACTGTTAGAAAGGCAACTTTTTTTTAAATGTCATTCCTTTTATTTAATTTTCTAGAGTATTTTGAATGTGCAGAATTTTCAGTTTTGTTGTTAAGATTAAATCAGTATGAGTAGCAACATTATACTAAGTTATTGATCTAAATAAGCCTTACATTGTAGCACTGCAATGTTGTTATTGCGTACCAGTACAACGCTGCTGTCAAAATTTCAGATGCATGTTCTTTACAGTTAATAAAATCCATAAAATAGTTCCTGCATTGATAAGTATATTGAGAAATAACTTTTTATCTTATTTTGATATAAATCTTTCATACTACAGGGGCTTTCTTAAGCATGTTGTATATTTACTTGAGAAGTACACAAATGGCAGTGCTATAGCGTTGCTGTGCTGACCTTATGCTTGCATTGGTCTTGCATTGCATCATTCATTGATGCATGAATTCTAAAAATTAGTCAAGATGCTCATAAATAGGTACATCAATTTGCAAGTAAAGTAAAGAACCTGTTTGTTTCAGCTGGTGGATAGTGAAGTTGTGATGCTTTCTGCACATTGGGAGAAGAAAAGGAACAGTCTGGTGGAACTACAGGATCAGCTGCAACAAATACCTGGGTTTTTAGCAGATCTGGAATGCCTCACGGCAAGCCTAGGTAAGGTTTTACAGACATAACAAGCATTCAAGTCAGTACAGAGGATTAGACTGAAGTTCAGCTGTTGTGAACTTTGCAATTATGAAATTTAATTTTGCTTCCCAAACACATCCTTTCTATTATAAAACAGTAGTTCTTAAACAAACTGGTTTTGTAAAAGAGCAAAATTAGTAGTGGTTGCTCTCCCAGCAGTTAAAATACTGTATGTGTCATTATTTGGGGAAAAAAAATTGTGTGACCACTGCATATCTTGGTGTGAACAGTTGACAATGATTATTCTTGAAGTCTTTTTAAATTCTTAAAGATTTGTAAGTAATGTGAACACTCATATGTAGTTGCTTCTCTTTGATTAAGTCTATATAATTTTATATAATAATTTGTTTTAAATCATCGTTTCATTTGGGGGAGCAAGAAATTTACCTGGCTTGGGACACTTTCAAGGCAGAAACTTTGTGTTGAGAGTAGTTGTTGGTTCCAAAGCTAGCTTCCATAGTTTAAATTAGTGTACAGGGTTTAGCTATTCTGAAGTGATACCCAGCTGGATGAAGCTAGCAGTGCTGCATATTAAGGTTACCAAATAACTCGTGTTTGTTAGATGGGTTCCAATTTTTATAACTTTACCAAATGTTAACCTGTTCGTTTAATTTAAAAGATGAAGGCTTTAGTGGACTACTTCTGGAAACCTCTCATACAACACAGTTGATCCACTGTTGAAAATGAAATTAGGAAAAAATGATCTGGCCTTTTAGTCTCTGAAACGCTCTAGTGTTACTGAGCCTTGAACTGGGGATGCAGCATCTGACAAGTAGCAAGCCTTTCTGTCAACAATAGGCCTCTTGCTGCCTCCATGAAAATCTGTTCAAGTTACATCAAATCAAAGTTTTGAAAAAATGCTGTCTGTGCATGGATTTTAGTAGCTAAGTTCCCCAGGGACTCTGCCTGCGCTATTCTTATACCAGCTGGGAAGCATGCAGAAATTCTTCATGTAATTGCAGCTCTTGTTTTTTGTGGGGTGGGCTGGATTTGTGTGCTGGCATCTGATGTGACGAGAAGGAGGGTTCTTTTCTGTGTTCAAAGGCTAATTTCTCATTCTTCTATGGTCAGTGGATATGCACAAATAGGCTTTTGTTCCTAGGTAGGCTGGTAATAACTTTGCTATTTCTTTCTGAACCAAGGAATATATTTCATTTTTTATTACAATTTTCTTATACCACTTTATTTATTTAGTCTTTATCACGTGTGGTAACCATTTAATGTTGGCTCTTTGAAAAGCTCAGTTATTTTCTAAGGAAATATCAATTCAAATAATGATTTATTTAAATACTGATTTTAATATCATCATGCACAAAATGATGCAGTCCACTGGTAGACCAAAGATAAACAATATAATAAAAACCTAATGGAATTGTCTTTATAATTCACAACTGCAAATGCTATAAATCCTGATGAATTGGGGTTACCTTCCCATTCCTAATGCTATAGTTTTATGAACCAGAATTAATCTCACCCTGATTTTAGAATTACTTGGATGTGTCTCTAGAATATTTTTGATACTGCACAAGTAGGATTTAAGGAAGCATTAACCAGCCTGCTTGGGGAAGCTAATGAATTTTGAAGGCTACTGCTAAGGTTGTGAGATTTGAACCAAATCTTCTAGTCTCACCTCGTGTGTCACATTTCAAGTAATTTACCTAGAGGTTTTTATTAGTTCCTCCTAAGCACTGTCAGGTTTTTTGGAATTGTTTTTTTCTGATAAGTTTTATAGAGTCTATTTGAAGAGAGAGGTATAATTTATACCAAATTCAACATCTATGCTTCTGGAAGTGATTTACCAGAAATTTGCTGTGATATTCTGCTCACTGTTTTTACTTTTTATAACTCTGAACTATCTGCTTTTTATAAATGTAAACTGTATTCACTTTTCCAAGAGAAGTCTAATACTGTGGCTGGGAATTTTAAACACGAGTGAAACGTTCTTTAAAAAAAATGTTAATATAGTATTATAAACTGCCGTGTCCTGGGTTGTGCATCCAAGATGTAATTTGGCTAATTTTCATCATTTCAGAAAACTAATAGTTCTGTGTTGTTAAAGCTATTACTTT